CCTTGACCACACGAAACAAAGAGCTCATTGACTGAAAGCTAAATCTTTTGGCCCAAATTTGTAAATTTGGGTACGTGATTTTGTTTTGAGGTATTAAATAAGCTTCCTGGCTTTCCTGTAGGTGGTAAGAAACTGCAGAAGCCTGTCCTGCACCATGGGGGCTCCCAGAAGCTCCTTGCCCCAGCCGGGCGCGGGATGCGATGCCCCGGCTCCATCACCCGTTCGGTGTCGATTAAGTTCTCATGGCGTAGAGCAGGGCATGGGAAAATGGGATTTTGGAGGGGGCAGAGGCAGTAAAGGCAGAGCCCACCACCAAATTCTTAGTGTTGCTTCCCTCTTTATGGCCAGGAGATGTTTCTTCAGCCCTGGCTGCAAAGGGTAATTGGTGTTTTCGAGGGAAGGTGGTTAACGAGCAGAGCGTTATCATTGAGCGAGTGGGATGCAGAGTCGGCTCCTCTCCCCGGGGTGAGCGGGGGATCGAGAGGGTGGCACGCAGCCGAGGACACCGGTGATGGAGTCATCCATGTGCGACTCCAGTCCGTGGATGCACTAGCCCATAAATGCCTACAGGAGGTGAAAAAGGGCAACGAACAATTATCCCTCATTGGAAAAATCGGGATCTTCTGGGGTTCTGCAACTTTTCTAAATAATGTTATAAAATACAAGCAAGATAGAGAGGCACTGAGCAATTTTCACTGCTGAAAACCAGTTGACTGCCTAAATCCTTTGCGGCTTGTACAGCTGGGCTGAGCCCTGGGGTTCTCGCCGGGGTTTTTGGCTGCCTCGTTCGCTGAGGATTTAACGGGAAGGGGAGGAAATGCCCGGCTCGCGTTATATGGCGAGTACAGGCAGGGCTGAGGAGTGACTCAGGGGTGAAGCATGGCTCGGTGGGAGGGATGGAGGCTGGATCCTGCCGCTCTTTGAAGTATGCAACTGTATGAGACCGGATAAAGGTCCAAATCTGAATCAGGAAGATACTGCTGAGCGTTATTCTTAGCAAGTTATCCAGTCTTTTCTCAGCAGAGAGGATGCTTGTGGCTTCTCTCTACCTTGCTGAAGCCCAAAAGTCTTTATGAATGATTGAAAAAGGATTATTCCTTTCAAACAAATCATAAGAGCAAGTACCTGACTGCGAGGAACGAACCCATAAATCTCCCCTTTGCAAGCGTTGCCAAGGTCTTTCAATAACCCACTGCGTATTTTTCACAGGATGCCAGACGTACATGGACATAATCATAGTTCTGGATGGATCAAACAGCATATATCCTTGGGTTGAAGTTCAGCACTTCCTGATAAACATCTTGAAAAAATTTTATATTGGCCCCGGCCAGATACAAGTAAGCCCCTGCACAACTCGTGCACCCCCCCGTGTCGTGCAGAGTCCCCTGGCCGTGCGCGGGGGGGCCGTTTCCAACACCCCTTTTCTGCCAATATTGCTGCAATTTGGTGCCACAATTTTTTCAACATCAGCTTCCAGCGTTAAAGCTGAGCCCATGGAAATAACGCTCACATTAATGTCTCTGAATGAGCCGGAGGGAGCGCAGCACCTCCCACCCCGGCCGGGCACAGGGAGGATGAAATCATACAGAAATACAGAAGTGTTGCCAGTTTGTTACACCTGTGAAGAGCTCTCTCCATCCTCTTCCGACTGGCATTCGTGGGGTGATTTGGGCAGGGATATCCTCAACAATTTGCACAAATAACCCTCCCATTTGGTCCCACCTAGAGATGCCGTGGGGCCGTGCTGGGGCACAGCACGCCTGCACCACCCCAAACTTTTAGGGCAGGGCAGGGGTGAGAGCTGGCAGGGAGTAGAAATAAAATTGAGCGTTATCGATGGTCCCACAGAGGGAAAACTGGAGGAAATCGGGACAGAGTGATTTGTAACGGTGACTGTTATTCCATGCGATGGACAAAAACGTGCTCGTTGTGTCGCAGGCCCTCGCTACGCAGCGGGTGGTTGGCATCCTTTGTGATATTCCTTTAACCCCTAGGTGGGAGTTGTTCAGTACGGAGAAGACGTCGTCCACGAATTTCATTTAAATGACTACAGGTCTGTAAAAGATGTGGTAGCGGCTG